AAAACAGAACTGAAACTGCTTTTGCCAACAGAAAGTGTGCTCGAGGCCGGGGCCGCCAGAGGAAGTGTCAGGCACCCAAAAACAAACCCAGGCCAGCACCTTGGGACCCCACTTCTCCCCATTCCTGACCCAGATTCCACCTGGACTCTTGCCCACTCCACTGGGCACCACAAAACTAACATCCCTTACAAGTGCCCACTTCTCAGACTTGACTGACTTTCAAATCCCATTAGATCTTGAAAGTTGTGTATCCCGTTCCCTCCCTAGGCAACTCCTTTCATCAGAACAACTACCAGCATTAACGGGGTGATGAGAAACACTGAATATTGATTAGTGAATGTGTTCTACCTCCCAGCAAGCAGGTTCAGATATCAACAGGGTCTTTCTGGAAGTAGCAACTGAAAGGAGTGACTTTGAGTGTTGCCAATGACAGGCACCGTGGCTGGCCTGTGGGACGCTTCTGTGAGCACATGTCTTTATCTCTCAGGTGTACTGTCTCTCAGGTGACAGAGGCGGTCAGCTCTGTCAGGCAGGGTCTCAGCCCAGAACCTGCAGCCACCCACAAGGTTATGGCATCATCCCCCTTACCTTCCCTTGAGGCTCTTCCATCCTAATCAGCTATAGTGTTTGCACGTGATCTAGGAAGCCTGCATCACAATATGAAATGAGGTGTCTTAGTGATTAAGACAAACTGTGGTCGGCAAACTGCGGCTCGCAAGCCACATGCGGCTTTTTGGCCCCTTGAGTGTGGCTCTTCCACAAAATACCACATGCGGGCGCGTGAAACTTCGCGGCCCATGCGCAGAAGTCGGTTTTCGGCCTGGGCGAGTCTGTTTTGAAGAAGTACTGTTCATATTTGGCTCTGTTGACTAATGAGTTTGCCGACCACTGTCTTAATCTGTTTTGGCTGCCACAGCAAAACAAATGGAGTATCTTATAAACAACAGAAACTTATTTCTCGCCGTTCTGGAGGCTGGAAGTCCAAGGTCAGCATGGCCGGGTGAGGACCCTCTTCTGGGCAGACTTACTGTGTCCTCAGGCAAGGCTAGCTTTCTAGACACTGTTCAATGAGGGCACTAATCCCAGTCCTGAGAGCCCTGCCTATTTGCTCCCCAAAGGCCTCGCCCTTAATAGCATCATCTTGAGCATTAGGTTTTCCACATATGAATTGGAGGGATGCATATACATTCAGATAATAGCAAATGTGAAAAACAATAATTCTGCAAAACTGCCAAAGATTTAGTCTCTATACATGGAACCAGGATGAGAAAACTATGCTTGACTGTATCACCCACTTGCCACCCCACAGAATGAAACATTGAAAAATGATGACAACCCTAGTTGTCCTTCTTTCTGGATCCTCTCTGCCCCAGGTAAATGTGCATCCAGCCTCAGAGCCTGAGCTACCTGTAGCAAGAGTCTCCTTCCTTTCCATGCCTCCCAGAACTGTGAGGGTGCAAAAATAGAACGTTGCCATGCCAAAGGGCTGGTGCAAAACCTAATAAAGGGAAGAACAGTATGAGCTCAAAGATATATATCCATTCTTGCAGTATCTGGTCATTATAAAAAGAGATCAACCCCGAGAGGCAACAAATAAACGGGCTCATGAGTCCTGGTGCTGACCTGGGCTCCCATAGACCCTTCAGGCTCACGCCGCCCAGCCACAGATTTGTCCTCAGGATGTGCTGTGGAGTGACAAAATGGCCATTTTCCTGTTCAACAGTGTTTTTCAGTTTAAGTTCCCACATTGTCTCTAGAGTTGCCCTTTGAATACATAGAAAGGAGAAAAGGTTCCTGAGGACACGGGAGCATTGTTCCTTGTTTTTATTGTCAGTGGCTGAGCATCAGTAGGCACAGTTAGAGGCTGGGTGTATTTGGCAGTCTCTCATTGTTCCTGTAGGCTCAGACTCCCAGGGGTACCATTCCCAAGGTAAGCTAGAGCCGTCAGCGTCTGATAAATGAGTCTCGGCCAGCCATGCAGCGCGCACAGCATCTGAAAGAAACAAAGCTCCCCCTGACTCAGCACAGGTCCAGCTGCAAGAATCATTGTCCTAAATGTCGAGGGGCAACACCGATGGTCACCTTTCAGCCCCTCTCCGCTCCAGTACCAGCAAAGGCGAGCCTGGACTGGCTATTGTTTATTCCAATGGGCTTTAATAATTAGGTGGCAATCACAGGGCGTGGCACATATAATTGAATGTCAAATATAGTCAATCCAATGTCACATTTCAGAAGTCAGATCCGGAAAACAATCTCAGAATCCCGTAAGAATTTATCGGTATATCACCTATATCAAAAGGCAGCACAGAAGTTCTTTACTGCAAAAACGAAGAGATGTAGAGTTCCATGACTTTTTAAAAATTTCAATTAGAACTTTTTAAGGCAGTAAATATTGTGAAGCCTTTTGGAAAAGAATTTTTGATGCACCTTGTGTGCTGTGTTATTCATTATGTAGTGAACATTTGGGAAATCGATTTTGTTCAAGATATGGATAAAGACACGGAGCTTCTTCGGGGACCTCTGACTTAAAATGAGTAAACCAATGCATACACAAACCCATCAGGCATAAGATTTCAATCGCTGAACAAATGGCTTAAATGTATGTTTCTCTGTGCGTTTCTATTTCTTTTTCTGGAGACTGATGGATAGAGCCTTTTGTTTCTGGAACTTGGAATGTTACCAGTAGGAAAATAAAGAATTTTAAGTGTATTGTACAAGAATATGCAAACAGGAAGCACACACACACAAAAAGGGAAAGGGAGTGTTTTTCAGCTTTCAGGCAGCAGTAGTAGAGGCAGTAAAAGAATGATAATAATAGCAGTTAGTCCCCAGCCTACCAGATGTCTGTGCCTGGCATCCTGATTCCCCTGAGAACCACTCTTCAGCCCTCCACCTTGATCTCTGCCCAGAGGGAGAACCTCTACCAAGTGAATTACCTGGGCCCCCTTGGTTTCAGCCAGTAGGAGACAGCAGCCAGAGGTCAGAAGGAGGCACTACAGAGGTCAGGGAATCATAACCTAATGATGGTTCTTGTCATGTCATTGGGCCCCTGTCTGTGATTTCAGTTTTTGTGCAGTTGATTCCCAGGGTTCTCCGATACCCTGTGCTGGTTTCCTTCAACCCTGTCTACACCTTTAGAAATAGTCTCTTCTTTAAACTCTCTTTCTTACCCCTTTGAGGGTAACCCTGTTTCATACCAGGGCACACACAAATATAGAGCCTTTGCAGGAATTAGAAAAAAGCACCCAGGTCAATAAATGGGGATCGTTATCCTCTTGTCTTGTCCTTTAGAAAATATTGAAATTTTCTAAAATAAAAGGATTCCAACAAAAGCAAAATAAAAGGTACCCATTTCGCTGACTAGTGCCCTGCAGATGCATAGCTTTATGAGCACAGTACGCGGGCTGGTTTCAGCCTCACCTTACTCCCTCAGCAGATGGCTTGATGCTGTGCACAAAATGTCAGCTGAGCCTGGCGCCCCTACAGAGGAATGGGAAGATCCCTAAAAGCTGGAAATATCTTAAGGAGAGAGTGAAGACTGATCTGGGTCTTCTGAATATTTGGGATCTAAGTGGAAAAGGGACTCTAGGCAAAGATAAGGTGTATGGCAGAGAGAGGCATGCAGCAGATGTATGCAGGGAGTAGATTCTGTAAGGCAAGGAAAGTCTTTTACAGCAAGTACTGCAGCATAAGAAAGGGGAGATGGGATGGAAATGGGCTTTGATTGCTGTGGATCGGAGCTTAGGATTGACAGGCAGTATGGTGCAGGATTGGGGCACTGCCCAGGCTTTAGTCATCATTTTGCCATCTATTAGCTCTGTGACTTTACACAGTTGTGTTTTCCTCTTCATGCCTCAGTTTTCTACGTTACAAAATGGGGATAAAATAGTACCTACAATGGCTGGGAGACTGGATTTTAAAATGCATGTCCAAGTGCTTGGCACAGCCCTTGGCTTCCATAAGCTCTCAGTGGACATTAGGTACTATCATCAAAACTTTTAAAACAGAAGAACGATAAGATGAAAGCTGTATTTCATGAAGATTAATCAGACAGCATGTGCAGACTGCACTAAAAAGGGAAGACAGAACAGGGAAGTCGGTGTGAGGCTGCTCTAGCTGTCTGCACTCCAGAGGGACACGGGAAATGAGAGAAGAAGCAGTGGAAGAAGAGTAGGAGGAAGGAAAACTGACAGATCAGGAGAGTACAGAGTCAGAGGGGGCTCCAAGCACTTTTCTCAGATCTTCGGTCTCCCCTGGTATAAATACACCTGGGCAGAGTAGGCAGTTGACTTTAAAGAACAGACAATTTTGACATTTTAATACAAGTAAAAGAAACATTAATATAAATTTGTCATATCGGTACAAGTAAGGAAATTAAAGAACCATTTGATTTACCCTCTATTTTACTGAATATTAAATTATTCACCGATTCTATTGTAAAATAAAAACCCTAGTGGACACCTCAAGTATTCCAGCAATCACTGGTGACTCCTCAAACTTTCCAAAGATGGTTATTTTATCTGAAGATTCTTCTGATTAAAATCTTAGGTCAGGGCCTCCTCAGTTGAGAAAGAACATCCTCATAGAAGAGAGCTCTGTAAGATCATAAATAATTTGCAAGTTCAGTTCTTACTAACAAAATCAACAGGATTGTTAAGCAAGCTATCAAGTTCCTGACTTAAGTATCTAACATTGGGATGGAGAGAGAAAGAGTAGTTAATTTAAAGTAATAATTTCTGTAAGTCCCCAATTGTGCATTCATCTGTAGGTAAGCCTACCTAAGAATTCAGTGCCATTTTAAAAAAAAACTACTGTGAAGCCATTTTAGCCAATCTTCATTGAGAACATTTATTTCAAGGTTTTACTTTGGCCTTTTTTCCAGGAACTGGGCCCTGATTCTACCAAGGTTTGGGCTCACTGTTAGAAACAGCGTGGCAGAATCCAGTTTCCAGGTCCCTCCTGCCTCATCCTGATCTGTCCTCTCCCTCTGTGCCCTGCAGATACCTGCCTGAGATCATGAATGATGGGCTGACCAACCAGATCAACAACCCTGAGGTGGACGTGGACATCACCCGGCCCGACACTTTCATCAGGCAGCAGATCATGGCTCTCCGCGTGATGACCAACAAGCTAAAGAATGCGTACAATGGCAATGACGTCAACTTCCAGGACACAAGTAAGAAAGTCCTTACCAGTAACCTCCAGAGTGAACCATGGTCACTGACAATTATACCAGCATTTCTCTTAAGAGCAATGTGCACCTTTCATCTTGTGCTATTCTTGCCCAATCTACAAAACTGTTTATAGTCCTTTAGACAGAAAGCTCTGATTCACAAAACTCAGGATATTACTAAAATCATAGCTGGTCTTAAGGATGCAACCCACTAAATTTTAGTGGATTGAATTCAGCTGTACCAAAGCTAAAATTGAGTTTCATCTGCCAGTTGATCCATTCCTCTACTGTTCAATGGAAAGCACCTGCCTAAGAGGTTGTTGGGAAGTTCATTTGAGGCCATATTTTTGTATTGATTTTAGAGAGTAAGGGAGAGGGAGAAAGGGGAAACATCAATGATGAGAGAGAATCATTGATTGGCTGCCTCCTGCACATCTCACACTTGGGATCAAGCCCAAAACCCAGGCATGTGCCCTGACTGAGAGTCGAACTATGACTCCTGGTTCATAGGTTGATGCTCAACCACTGAGCCATGCCAGCCACACAGAGGCCATTTTTAAAAGAGCTAAGATAATATCTTATGTGCCATGAATTCAACTGTATTAATGTTCTCTCTATTCAGTCATATACATACAGAAACCATTGATATTTATATCTGAAATATTTAGAGAAATAGTAAAATATAGATGCAATATCACACTTAACTATTTTATTAAATATCATAAAAGCATCAGAAGTGACTTGAAAGGCTACTAAGTGAACATTGATATGAAACTTTATTTGGGTTTTGTCTAAATGGTTTCCATATGCATAACTATTAAGGCACTTTTTTTGTTAGTTTTGGGGGTTTTTTTTAAGTAAGCACCCTTACAGAGAGAGTTCTCAGGAAAATATTTCTTGAACATGAGATGTGGAGTTGCCAGTGATTCTGTAATTTGGTCACTGATGCCAAAGATGATGTTTGTGTGCTTGAATTAATGAGATAGAAAGAGGTTTCATCTAAGTCTTAGCCATCATCCTACTGAGTTGTCCCCTGCAGAAATATTTTAGTGTTTTATTATATTTTAAATAACAAAAATCAATTTTCTGAATACAGGGTAATTGCCCACCAGATAGACTTCATTGCTATAAAATTTCTCAGACTCACCACATTATTTATCTTCCTCTTTACTATGCCTCTCCTTTCTTCTTCAGAAGAGAACACAAGGTTTTAGCCTTTTCTGCTTCTCCCTTGCTCATTACTTAGCCTCACTCATCTCAATTTATCTGTTCTGTCTTCTCTAGCTAACAAAATGGTTTATTATCTGGATAATGACTATTAGAATAAATTATTCAAGATGCATAAGGATTAGTTGATGTTGGTCTTATTTCTCTCTCCTCTTACCTGAAGAGGTTATATACATGTCAGTCTGCAGTGCTTATGGAAAATTCTTGAGGAGAGATTTTGCTCCATTTCCCCTTCAGAAGCAAACAAACAAAAATCCATAGTAGCTAAGAGAGTCACTTAACTCTAAACCAAGTACCAAATTTGACCCTTTATGTTATGATCGTGTCTGTCATACAAACCATTATTACATCTTCTAGCCATAATCACCTTTATTGCTTTTGACGTTTTTAAAAATCACCCATGCATTTGTGATTCCTCTCAGAAAGAGATGGGGCCATTACTTTTCTCATCTGGAATCCCATGTCATTATTTGCTTACCACATTTTTAATATTCTAAATAGCTTTAATAATATTTTTTAATAGTTAAATTACTTCTTCTTTGTGATACTAGTGTTTAGAACAACCCCCTTAGCAACTCTGTTTTCTCTGAATTTAATTAATGGGCATTTTCCCCCTTGTAAAGGCCACTAAAGATAAATCAGAGAAAATGTTAAGAACCTGGTAGATTGTATTCAAGTGATCTTACCTGGTATTTAGATGTCCCTTTTTAAAACAAAATAAATTGTGATGAGTTGTGCCTTTCTCTGCCAGGATACATTAGAGAAGCCCCTGTATCACCTTAGCTTTTATTTAAGTAGCATCAAGCAGCCAAGATGGCATCAGTCTTTCAGGAGCAGCGTAGCAAGCTCGTCATCACTGAAAGCCAGCAGGGAGCAGTTAGGGCTATTGCATGGAGCAAGTGGAGAAAACAGCAAATGTCATTACCGGATTTACAGTTTCCTGAGTCCTCCCAGGAACATCATCTCACTTATACACCATAACAATTCTGTGAAATAAATTGGATTATTCTCATTTTTATAGGATAAGAAGAAACAGAGCCTCAACAAGGCTAACCCGATTTGTCCTAGTTCACTTAAATTAAATAAAGCAAGTTAAAATCCAGGTCACCTTTGCTGCGGGAACCATGTGTTTTCCATCAGGCATCATTGTGAGCACTGGGTTTGGTGTCCTCGCACATTTCATGAGGGTGTCTGTCTTCACACAATTTAATCCTATTGTCCATATTTCCTGAGATGAGGAAAATGCCAGAACCTGAGTAAACTGCCCAAGGCACATTTATTTACTCCACGAGCTATTTATTGAGCACCTGCTGTATGCCAGGGACCATTAAAGGCATGGTGATCAGAAGTGCACAGCGACACAAAGTCTCTGCCCCCAGCAAGTTTACATTCTCATGGAGGGGACTAATCTAAATATATAAGCTCAGCGACCAGAACGGTAGAACGACCAGAATGACCAAGACGACCAGTGACTATTACACACACTGTGGCAGCCAACCAGCCTGATCCGGGCCCTGATCGTCCCCCACTCGCTGGCCCCACCCTCTACCAGCCCCCAACACCCCAATTGGGGGCGGAGCCGGCCGGCCAACCACCTGCATCCCCTCCCCCTCACTGGCCTCGCCTGATGGGCCCCCATCGAGGCGGGTCGGCCAGACCCCACCCATGCACAAATTGATGCACTGGGCCTCTAGTAAGAAATAAGAAAACAAGTAAACAACACAATTGCACCAGCTAGTAATTGATGGAGCCTGATCTGGGACCCAGGTCTGATACACAGGATTTATGAAACAGAAAAGAACAAAGCAGTAAGAATTGGGACTAGAACAGGCCCAGAGGCATGCTGAGCAAGCAAGGTGCTGCACTAAGACCACATACTGTTTGGGCACCTGGACATTGGTTTCAAGCAAGAAATGGCAAACTTTTTTTGTAAAGGACCAGATATTAAACATGTTCAGCTTTGAAGGCCATGTGTGAACAGAGAATTAAACCATGTATAAGTGAATGGCTGTGGCTACATTCCATTATAACTTTCTCTATGGACACTGAAGTTTAAATTTCACATACACATTTTTTACATGTCACAAAATATTATTTTTCATTTGATTTTTTTCCAAACACTTGAAAACATAAAAATCTTTCTTGGGTTGTGGGCCATACAAAACCAAGCTGCAAGCCAGATCAGCCTGCAAGCCATCGTTAATCAACACCTGGTTTAAAGGGAGAGGCTGGTTGAGACAAGGTCTATCCTTGTTCTTAGGGGAACAGAGGTCAAAAAAAGTTGTCAAACCCAGCTTTGCTCAGTGGTTGAGCATTGACCTATCAGCCAAGAGGTCACCAGTTTGATTCCCAGTCAGGGCACACACCCGGGTTGTGGGCTTGATCCCCAGCAGGGGGCATGCAGGAGGCAGCCGAAAGATGTTGATGTTTCTCCCTTCCTCTATCTCTCAAAAAAAAAACAAAACTATTGAGATGGGGTGGGGACCATTGGGTGGGGAACTGTCCCCTCCCACTACCATGCCCAATTCTGTTACAAGCCTCCAGTCTTTCCAGGTTGTGGTCTAACTTTCTTTGTCAATCTGTCCACACCAGGTGATGAATCCAGTGGCTCGGGGAGTGGCAGTGGGTGCATGGATGACGTGTGTCCCACGGAGTTTGAGTTTGTCACCACGGAGGCCCCTGCCGTAGATCCCGACCGGAGAGAAGTAGACTCTTCTGCAGCCCAGTTCGGCCACTCCCTGCTCTCAGCGTCTCTCGTCTGCATTGTCCTGGCACTGCAGAGACTGTGCAGATAATCCTGGGTTTTTGGTCAGATGAAACTGCATTTTAGCTATTTGAACAGCCAACTCACTTCTTTTCTTACACTCTTGGACAATGGACCATGCCACAAAAACTTACCGTTTTCTATGAGAAGAGCAGTACTGCACTCTGCCTCCCTTTTTGTTTTCCCAAAGAGTAACGGGTGCCAGACTGGACTGCTTCCTCTTTCCTTTGCTATCTGTGGGAACCTTGTCTATTCTAGAGAATTCTTACTCAAATCTTTCTACCAGGAGATTTTCTTACCTTCATTTGCTTTTATGCTGCAGAAGTAACGGAATCTCACGTTGTGAGTCATCCCCGCCCCCTCCCCTTTATAACAACTTGGAAAAAAAAGTAGGAATAATATTCTCCATAAAATCAGGCCAAACCCCAAAACAACCGCATTTTCAACAAAGAAGCAAACAAGAGCGAAAAATAAAAGAGCTCCAACACCATCAATCCAGTATTACCAGGCAACTCCCAATGTAAGCTTTTCTGTGACTCATTGCATTTTTAAAAAAATGCTATGGGGAGAAAGTTTGAAAATGTTTTTAGTGAAGTGAAAATGCACTGTTGTCTTGGAGGTATCATCTTGCACTCTAACCACACAGCACCAAACTGACTTAGAGGTACTGGTACTAAATTTGAATTCTATCTTTAAAATGACACAAAATATTATTATAACTCAGCACCTCCCTCACCCTGACCAATTTCAAATGCAGTAATGGTGCCATTCTCCTCAATTCTCTTAATGTCTTTGTCCACTGGATCCAATTGGCACAGATTTCCCCTTCATCTTCAGTTACTAGTGGACATCCCCATCCATTTATCCTCCTCAAGAATCTGAATGGAAAATAATCATCAACAAATGCAATCGCTTTGCTTTAGCCATAGATTGGACATTAATTTGGTATCTGCCCCTGTGCTCATTACCTCCCAAATGAAGATTCCTTTTAGTGAACTGATAAGCAGTTAGACCCATCAGTGAGTTTTCATTTTTAGCCATTTGCTTTGTGTCAATTGGTTTCTGCATCACAAGGGCATTCTCTTACAAAATAACTCACAACAAAAAAAAGACAAGACAAAAAAAATATATATATATAGTATTGACATGGAGATTTCTTTCACTTTTTTAGTCTTAGTATGATCATCTATTTTTATATCTATATATATATATAAATCACAGATTTTAACTTCTTAATTCCAAGCTCAGGGTTGACACACCTTTGTAACAAAAATGTTTTGTCAACCAGCTCTTCTTGTTTTGTGCTGCTCAGAGAAGGGATTCTTCAATGATCTGTGAGCACCAAGAATCAAGAAAGAGACCTTTTTACGTATCTAACTGTCCATTTAATAAAAGTTTGCCAGGGCACACCCTTTTTGCATGAGCGTGCTTTGTCCTGGATGCTCCAGACTGTATCGAGCTCATGGAGAGAGCCATGGGTATGTAGGACATTACTGGGGATGGAAGCTGTATGGGTAAAGAATGTGTTATTCACGCAAAACCATTGTTTTCACGTACAATGCCTTCAGCCTAGGATTCCTACCTGGCACTTGAGAAAATGTCCTAACACAAGAGGCCAATTTAGAGCCACAGCCTAACTGGTCCACCCAAGTGTGCCAAAGCTAGGCCCTGTGCTCCCCTGACAGAGAGAAGCAAAATAAACCAAAATGGGGCTTTATGAATACATTGACTATCCATATATTTCTTGGTTTTTATGATGCATCTGGGGTTGGGAAAAGTAATGTTTTAAGACACCAGAGTACACCAGTCACTCACTGTTAATTAACCCATTGGCAGTAATGACATATAAATGGTATTTTTCAATCCCCTTCCTCATCAAAATTATAATTAGTTATTGATTTAGTCATCGCGTTTAAGTAGAGCATATGCGCACAATAGTATTAAGTATAATTGAGCACTTTTGCAAAACTGAAAGTATTTAGAAGCATCTATTGCTATAGTATGCCTAATGAAATATGAAACGTAGAATTCTGAGAGACTTTGTGGCATTTTTTTTTCATTAAAATTTTTATGAAGTTAACATTTAGCCTAATTCAGCATTACATACTTCTAGAAAAACATTTCACTGCCAAACTTTGGCTTTCGGTCACCAATTCTACATAAAATATCTCTATGAAGGACCAATTTATGTTGTTCATGTCATTGTATGTTCAGAAATCAGCATTGTCTTTCTCCGAATAATTAAGGTGCAATACAAATTAAATCAACCTTGGTTGGACAGAATTTTGAGTAATAATTTGTTTTTATGGCTTTAAACTTCAAGTCTTTCCTTTTTTAAATGTGTCTGCATTGTCTTCTATGAAATAGATCAGAATGCCTTGTTTTCCCTGTGTTTTCACCCAAAATGGTTTTGTGCATGTGTATGAGTACACATTATATTACTGAATTTGAACCCATGTTCTGTACACACTAAACACACAGGTAACATATAAACACCTGCTTCATTTGTTCAACACCTTCATTATTAATAGCATTCATAATGGTTAGATGTCGTGATCCATCTGAGCCAGGCAGAGAGCTGAAATGACTATCAGTTAATGATGCCACAATATTAGTCACCTGCATGAATGTGGTCAAAATCATTCAAATTGTACTTTCTTGTTTTTATCATCATTCTAATATTTCATATGATTTCAGACTAATTTAACATGAGACTTAATCTAGTTACTCCATTTCAGAAGAACTTTGAAACCTCATCTCACCCCACCCCACCTCTGGCCAAATTAATTTCTCTCATTTTAGCAGTGTGATAGGGAAGCAATGATGCTGCATTATTTTTCATGACCTGACTTCTTGGCTTTGATGTCTCCTAAGTTCTGTAATGACATCATAACCTCTGTTACAAGTAGAGAGGGATGGGCTCACTGAAGTCGGAACTAGAATTTGTTGGGTGATGCTCATAACTGCAAACACTTAGCTTATTGAAGTGCCTCTATTTACATGTTTAGTTATAATATGTATTTTTCTAACAGAAATACACGTCTGTAATTGGTGTATATTATACTTTGTATATGTTACAACAAAAGCTAAACAGAGGCTAAAGTCTTTAGCAGAGAAGAATGAATTACAAATTCACGTATTAGAGCTCTGCTATGGTTCTGTACTGAAAGACAGCCATGACAACCTTCTGTCATCTTAATGAAGGTCAAGTTGGCACTTTGATTATAGCCTTCCTCAAACAACCTTAGCAATAGCAATCTGACTCCCTTACAGTGACTTACCCAGATAAGTATCTTGTATGACCTGTTTTAATTGTAAGGGATAGAAAATACTACTTGTCTACACTGAGAAACACTATTATTCATTGAAAAGCCGAATTAAGTATAAAAGTAACATTCTATAGCTCAAACTGAAAATATTATTGGTCACAGAATCCTGATATTTAATTTATATTCCCTGCTGCAGACATTAGCCTACTTTAATTCTTTAGCCATTACATACATGTTTTGGCTACACACTGAACACCAACTAAAGTCCCCAAGGAGGAATAAAACCTTAGCAAATTCCTGAGTTGTGATTCTTTTGTTACTTCTATTTGCAAGGCTAATTGTCAAGTGGTTTGATTAAAGGTGGAAGCGTTAGAAATGCAAGTTTTGACTTATCTACAACTTGCAGAAATTCAAACTCATTATCATTTACTTACAGTCACTAACAGACCTGACTTTTAACAAGACAAACAAATGGTAGTTTAGCTTTGCCAGCAGAAGAGTAAAGGAGACCATAACTTATAAATTTGCAATGTGTTCCTCCTCGGTGGAGACATTAGCCAGTGTTTAGTTTTAGGCCAAATTATACAAATAGAGTATTGATTTGTATGCATTCTGGAGCCTTGCTATATCATGATTTGCTACAACATGAGAACTCAGCCTAGCATGGGGCCATGTGAATCTCACTCACAGTGGAATAGTTCCTGGAATCTTTGACCTTGCCTTGCAAGGAGGTATCTCCATGAAAAGAAACCTAGCAATGGCCTAATAGTGAGGTCTCTGCGTGCATATGCGTAATATATATGCAGGATAAATGTGTGCACCAATCAAACCTAAAATTTTATGTGACTGTCAAATGAATATTATTTGGGTTAAGATTTTTCATTTCTGATTTGGATAGAAAATTGCTATTAATCTTGTATTAAAATAGTTTTTAAAAATCTACCAGTGCCCTTTCTGCATTTTCTTAATTATTGTCATAGTCTAAATTTCGTAGCTTTTGAATTTTTTTTGTTTGAGGCCTTTCTAGAAGCTGTAATAGTACAAAAGAAAAGAAGAGAAAAAGAACAAAGATGAAATCAGCCCTGCTCACCTAAGTATACTTGGCATGTAAAATCATGAACTTTTAAAACTTTAGAATATTTACGGTTTGACAAACATGTGGACGATACTATATGCTTCTTTTCTATTGGTTTCTTCTCTAAGATAAAATTTAGTGGCTTGAGAACTGATGTAAATACTTTATGAGGTCAGAAAAATTAGATAATATTGAAAGAACTAACAGTAACATGTTAAAGATTGATTTAACAAGTATTTATTAAACTCCTACTCTGCACTAAACCTGCTCCAGGTGCCGATCCCTGATTACCAAAACCACCAGTTGGAAATTATTCATTTTTACTACAGTTAACCATAATTATTATGGATGCATCACTCATTTCAAGATGGTCTTCTAAATAAAAAAGGCCAGGAGAGAAACCAAGATGGCGGCATAGGTTAACGCCAGAGATTGCTGCCTCGAACAACCAATTCAAATTACACCTAAAAGACAGAACAGACATCAACCAGAACCACAAGAAGGCTGGCTGAGTGGAAATTCTACAACTAGGAGGAAAGAGAATATCATACCCAGA